TTCTATCCTATAACAAATCATAAGGCTATACCTAGATTTTATTCAAATATTCATGAAATTATATTCAAGTTTTTAATCAAGTTTATATCAAGTTTTTCCCCATTTGTATTTAAAATATGCATCATTAAATAGGGGTCATGTATTAATAAAGGTTCAAAAGGAAAAAGCATCTAAACAATAAAACAATTGCAGCATTTTCAATTTCCTTTTGTGTTTCCTATTGTTAAAACAAACTAAAAATAAAGAATTAAGCATTCTGATGACTGTGAACACTTTTTATCACTTTTTAAAATATTGATATTTGAAATACGTAATGCTAAACATTTCTGGAAGCACTGATTTTTGGATTTAATACAGTTGAAACTAGACTATATTTCTGCATGCAATATTAACAAATGGTATGGACCACTCATTAGAACTGATCTAATTTCAGCGTTTTTAAATTAAATCTTTGCAGACAAATTCCCACTATTAATGATTAGAGAGAACAACTGTCTCCTGCAACTGAAACCCATCAATTATTGGGAGCAATTCCAGCCCTGTTAGGCTTGCCAAACCCAAGAAACATGCTGCAATCAAATGCAATGGTTGTAATTATGGGAAAGAGCTGGAGAATAGGTAGCTTTGAAATGAATTTGAAATGACAGCTGGAGATGCTATGATCTGAGTGGACTTTGGAGAATGTACTGATTTGGCCCACCAAATGTTCTATATTTTAACATTTGCTTCAGAACTATTTCAATTGTTGACTGCATTTGTGTGTGTAAAGAAAAAAAATCAACATGCTATAACTAAGCCCTGAATTCTGGTAGCAGTTCTGACAACTAGTGCCGCTTCAGTTTGGGGCTTCTATGTATGTTAAGACCAGAGGTCCCCAAACTTGGCAAAGCCTACTGAGAAATTCTAAAAGTTGAAGTCCAAGTCTTAAAGTTGCCAAGTTTGGAGACCTCTGGTTAAGACCCTGAAAGTGACATTGGAATAAATGGGAGTCCTATAATTCCTAATTATGCCATTTAACATAATAGTTTCATGAGATATTTTTTATAGTCCAGCGCATGCAGGTATTTGTTTATTCTAATTAGCTACCCAAGAAATTTTTTTTGACTTACAATCATGCAAGGTCTTCTTGTGAAATGAAATACTAGACAGAAAGCATTAGGTTTACAAGCATTGAAAAATAATGGTGTTTCATTTGGAATGTAATATTAATGAATGTTAACTCAAGTTTTAAAAGCAAAAGAGTGCAGCTGATTGCATCTCATGGTGCTGATGGGCTGATCTAATGTGATGGCTTGGTTTTAAGTGCTGAAGGAATTAACAGTGTGCAGTTCCATTTCTGTCAGGTTGGAAATATTGTATTGAGTTGGCTTAGGACAGGAAAAAATGGTGGGACTTAAGGAAATTGAGAGAAAGGAAACCCAAAGACAACAATGAAGGAGCAGACAATATCACTGGAAAAGGAAGCATACTGGGAAATGAGGTTGTCGGCTAGCATGTGGAAGTAAGTAACTGAAGCAAGGAACAGCTAGTAAATGAACTGAATAACCTCATGGTAAGAGAGACAAGAATGACATGGAGGTGCCTCAGAAATAGTTCCCAAAGGAAGCCAATCAAATATAGTAAAGGAAAACATAGAAAAGAAAGAAGGAAAACATAGAAAAGAAAGATAAATGGACCAGGAGCTGCATACTACTAATGTGAGTGGTAGACAAGGAAAGGAGACATAGGTATCTCAGTAGAATGTAGCAACTATGGAATGTTGTTGTTGCAGATTTTTTGTAGCACTGGAAGCTAATGTGTACCCAAAATATGCACAGAAGTGCATTTACAATTTAGAATTTATCAAGTAATATGGCCTGGGCTTTAAGGATAATTGGTATGATCTGCAATAAAAACCTTGTAATGTGGCATATCTCCAAGGTTCCAGACAGTCCATAGACCTTATTTTCCTTCACGGTTCCTTATTTTTTTTCTCCCCTCATCTATTATCTCCTTTCTCTCTCTTTCCCACAAAAATCTACATTTAATACTACATTAAATCCCTACTGAAATGTTGAAAGAGGAAGTATATTAATTCATGACAGTGCCAGTTTTAGTCCTGCCATGGACATGAAAACTGGCTGGGTAACTCTGGGCCAGTCTCTATCAGCCCATCCCACCTCACAGGGAGAAAATGGGAGGGAGGAAAGTTAGGTATGATCAGTTTCTTGAGTTATAAAGAAAAATGATGAAGGTGGGACATTTCTGCAAATCCTCCTGCTACTTCTTTTTGTATATGGATAGCGTTATTTTGGCTGCATAAAAATCCACTCACATATGTACTCCAAAAAGAATGAGAACAGGTTTCACTCTAAAGCGATGAGAACTGAAAGAGCAATCATATACTGTACATAGCTCCTGGGAAGTATAGTATCAGGAGACTTATTTCTAAGAAATAATGCACAGAAATATTATATTTTTGCTGTACACAAGGAGCAGCAGTATTATCCTCTCCAATTCCTATTTCATCAACGTTATTAAAGGTTCAAATGTCAGTTGTATGATGAGATATTCATAAACTTGCTCATTTGCTAATGGGATGTGTGCTGCCATTTCAACCCAATACACACACACACACACACACAAAAAAAGGGGGGGGTAATAGACCGCTTTCTGCCATCAATATTCAAAAACCAATAGGAAAGTACTGAATCATCTAGGAAACCCATCACTGATCTACAGATTGCTGAGGCTATAAAGGCTAATTTGTTTGAGAAAAGCTGAAATTTGTTAGGAAACTTAATATTTCTCAGAGAATAAAACATTTCCAAGGTTTCTTATTACATTATATGGAGTAAATTCAATAATGCAAAATGTCTTTGCGTATCTGTTTTGTAAATGCTAGGTATCTATCAGGGGTGGGATTCAACTGGTGTTACTACTGGTTCGGTGACTATGTTGTGTGCGTGCATGCGTGTGTATAAAAAACCTTAAGCTGTGCTGCCCAGACAGCTGAAAAGTGCTGTGCGCAGGTGCACAGCATTTGAAAAGCCATTTCCCCCCCTGCTTTTTCAACCTCAGCTATGTCGCACAAAGTAGCTGAGGTTGAAAAAGCAGGAAATAAAGGACAGGTAAGAGCCTGGGTGGGCCAAACAGCAGCAAATACAGAACTGGTTCAATGTCTGCTGCTCTTCAATTCTATAGAGGCGGGCAGAACCAGTAGCATCCCACCCCTGGTATCTATATCTTTCTCCATGGCTCCTTTTATATTTTCCACTACTCTCTCTCTTAGTTAACATTCAGTGTCTTCGATGAAATAAACTGTAGTCTGCAGAAGCTAAAGCTACACTCAATTTGAGACTTTAAACTTTAAAAGTCAGTATGACTTTTTATGATCTCTGCAGGCTGCCCCTTTCCAAACTTCAATTTGAGAACATCTGAAGTTTGACCCCTTTGGTGTTTGAGGACTGAAGAGGTTTAGTTTGTTTCAGAAAGAAAAAAAAAAGGTCACCCTGTGAACCCAAGAGCACTTAATAGCGTTCTTGGAAGGTTTTTCCAACTAGTGTAAAGGTGTATCAGCTATTTAAGTAGAGCATGTTGCTCTGTTTCAATGCACTTGAGAAATCCTGCAGCACTTTCCCTCTTTAGGAAGAAATAGAAGAATTTGTGGTTCATCAGTGAACAAATTGCAGCATACTCTTGTCTGGCCATCTCAGGCAGCACTTGGGAGTTTTTGTGGGAGTTTGCATCAAAGGCACCCAAGCTGCCATCCAGAGCCAAGAATGTGAGGTTCTTCTCTTTAACAATTTGAACACAGTTTTCTCCCCCTTTCTTATTAAGAAACTGAATCCAACGGCGATGCTAAAAGAGAAAACTGTAAGGATCCTGACGACGGTTGTGTATTTATACTTCATAACATTTCACGGACTATTTATATACTTTACATTCGTTTAGTAAGCCCAAGCTGACTCATCCACGTTAGGCGTGGAAAGATCGTTCCTCAGCAACGGTCGTCGTTCCTCCTTTTTCAGGATAGACCTCTTATGTCACCGGGGAATGCCGCCACCTTTTTTTTTTTCCCGGAAAGAGAAAAGACCCCTTAGTAGCAAATCCCCCCCCTAGCGGAACCCCCCCCCCCAACTCCGCTGATCCGGAGAAAGCGGTTGGTTGCCCTTTTGCAGGAGAGCTTTGGAAAGGATCTATGATTGCCGGGGGCGACGTCAGTTCAGACCCCGCGTTTATTGACCTCCCTTGTGCTGCGTTGAAGAAACGGATGTTTCCCGAGCAAATCGTGCAAAGGGAGGGAGGGAGGGGTCGGAAGCGGGCAGCCGCCGCGGATTTTCGTCGGGGCTGCTTCGGATGGCAGCTTCCGATGCGCCAGTCCCGGGGAAGTATGTTGCAAACCCGATTCACTCGGGGTCGTTTTATCGTTAAATTAAAGGCTAATTTGTTTGAGAAAAGCTGAAATTCGTTAGGAAACCTATTATTTCTCAGAGAATAAAACATTGCCAAGGTTTCTTATTACATTATATGGAGTCAATTCCACAATGCAAAATGTCTTTGCGTATCTGTTTTGTAAATGCTAGGTATCTATCAGGGGTGGGATTCAACTGGTGTTACTACTACTGGTTCGGTTTTATCACTTACAAGCACCAGGCAGCCTTTAAAACCACGCGTTTCCTGCTGTGAACCGCCTGGGGTGCGCGTCATATACACCCCCACCCTCTTTTCCGGATTGTGCAACACAGGAATTTCACACACCCCACGAACTTTTGCCAGGTTGCGTGGGGAGAGGAGGGGCCGGTGCCAACCGGAGCGTCACGGCGGGTCAAGAAAACCACTGACACGCACGGAAGAAAAAGTCCGCGTCGAGGATTTCCCGCACCCAACCCACGGGGGATGGGGGGGGGTGTCGTGGCGTGGGTGGCTCCCGTCAGGGCTGTCAGCACTTAGGGTTGAGGAAAGCCCAAACCCAGCAGGATCTTTAGGGGAAAGAAGAAAAAAACCACGGCTTAATCGCCGCAACCAGGGTGGGCTTCGCCTCAGAGCGCTAAACCACAACGGCTGGCTGATCCGGGTCGGGCATGTCTCAGGCGAACGTTCATTATTTTGATTTGTAGCCTTAAGGAAAACCGCAACGTGGGGAATGGGTTGGCCGGTTTGTTAACTCGCCGCTGGTTTCTTGGGCAGTTTTGTTTTTTAATTTTCAAACTTTCCCTAAGTGTCAAGACGGGCCCCGCTGAGTCTCGTCTGCCACGTAGTACGAGCAACACTTGAACTTTGCGGGGAAACGCGCATCTTCACCTCATCCGGAGATTCCTCCTCAGCCCCGCCCGTCCCGCTTCTCGCCGCCTCCTTAAAAAGCTGGGAGCAAATCTCGGGCTTCGCGCCAAATTCCAAACGCCAAGTGAGAGACACCCCCCACCCAATCCGCCCGCATACCCAGGGGGAGGGAGGGAGGGGGGGACGTTCACGCACGTCTCCTGAAGGCGGTGACGTCACAAACCCACTCCGTCCCTCGCGCCCGCTGTCCCTTCCGAGCAGTCCGCGTTGGGCGTTCGCAGACCCGCGCGCCTCGCTAGACGCTCCGTCGTTCCTCCTCCTCCTCCTCCTCCTGCACCCCTACCCCGCCCCTCCCCGCGGCGCGCGAGCTCCGTGCCTGCCCGCTAAATTCCGTTAGCGCCACCTCTTCCCTCCGCCTCGCCCCGCCTTTGGCCCCACATGTTCGGTCCGGAAAAGCTGTTGGGGCAGCTGCCCAAGCTGGAGACATACGGGAATATGGCGTCCGTGGGGGATTTTAACTCGGTGAGCGCCAACGTCCCGGCCACCCGGGTGGAGATCTCCGTGTCTTGCAGGTGAGGCGAAGGGAGAGGAAAGGCGGGGCGGGCGCGTCTCTGTTGATTCGGGGCGAAAGGGAGCTTCCCGCTCCTGGACGGGACAAAAGGGGAGGAGTGGGGAGTGGACCCACCCGCGCCTTTCTGTGAGGCGGTGGGCGAAGGAATGAAGGAACGTGTGAACGGAATATCCTTGCTTTGCCTGGCTGGCCGCTTGGAAGGGTCGCCTCCGTCGGAGTCGCGTCGTTTTTCTCCTCCCCCCCCCCTCAGATCCTTGCTGGGTTTGTGTGGGCTTTCCTCAACCCCGCGGGCTGACAGCCAAGACGGGAGCCGGCAACGGTCCCCCGTCCCCCCACCCCGGTGGGTTGGGTGCGGGAGATCCTCGACGCAGACTTTTCCTGACCCTCCGTGACGCTCCGATCGGCCCCGGCCCCTCCTTCCCTCACCCCCCCCGCCTCCGCCTCCTCTGGCTTCCCCACACGACCTGCGGAAAGTTCGTGGGCTGTGAAATTCCTGCGCCGTGCAATCCGGGAAGAGGGTGTGTGTGTGTGTGTGTTTTGACGCGCACCCGCCAGGCGGTTCACAGCAGGAACTTGTGGCTTGAAGGTTGCCCTGTGCTTCCAAGTGACAAAACGAACCGCAAGGCCACTAAAAAATAAAGTACGGGAGAGTGGAGAAAAGGGGGGGCGGGGGGTGGGTGGGGGGAAATGACACGGAACTCAACAGTATAAATTCGGGTATTGGGGGTAGGAAATGTTTCTGGCGTCAGTCTTTGCTTAGGATTACTATTTCGACATCCAGCAAAGGGTTTGATTTCCTCCTGTTTGAAAAGTTGTTAAATTCCTGCAGTTCTTCAACTTCGGATACAAATGCCGATTTTCATCCCCCTTTCAACTCCATTGATCTGATTGGTAACTTCAGTCTGTGTGAACCTTTTCCTGGTAAAACAATAAAGAAGATATTAAACCCCCCTTTATCCTAAGCCCCATGTTATTGTTTTTCTTACAGGATGCAAACAAGTGGAAAATACTGACTTTATTATCTCTGGGCAAACATGCCAATAGTAATGCATGTTCCAATTTTCCTTTGGAGATCAATCAATCTGTCTATCATCTTCAAGAGAATTGTTTGAAATCCTGTTAACTAGGAAATGAGTAATTAAATCTGATTTTTTTTTCTACTCACTCTGTTTCTTCCTGCAATCCAGTATTGGACTTTTGAAAATAGATTTTTTTTTATCATGGTGATTAAGGAGACAAGAAAATTAAAACTGATATTGGGCATTATGAAACCAATATCCATTGCCTTTAATGTTCGTTTCCTTCCTTATTTTATTAGGAATTTTTAGATATACGTTTTCTGGAGTTCTAATAAAGAATTGCAACTTATGTCTACTAAAGCTATCTGCTAAAGGAAGAAAATGGTTACTTCTTATTGTTTGAAATTTAGAGAAAAGACCTTCATATTTTTGTTTCCAGAATGTCTTGGCTTCTTTTGAAATGTTATGCCAGTGTGATTACCTCGTTTTCAGAGGCCTTTATAATGAATAAAATTAAATAGGAATTGAATTGTCTTTTCTCATTTCTGAATATTTGTAAAAAAAATTGTACTAGTTTAATTTTGCACTAGACACATAGAATGGCATTTTTCTGCTGTTTGCAATATCAGTAATCGGGTTTGGTTCTTTTGTATAAGCAAGAGAATGCAGTAACCAGTTTGTGATGATGAGAAAATGTGGTTCCAGATTTTGGAAAAGCTCTGAAGCCAGACCTTATTTGTTGTAGCAGTTAATTTCCGACCATTCTTTCATTATAAATACATAACTTCCTCCAATTGTTTTGGGAAATGGTTTTTCTTTGGAAGAATTTGTGATAGCTACAAATGGAAGAAGACTATTCAACAGAGTACACCAATACAGACATTTTATATTCAAGCCTATGTGATTTTGAATAAGCTGTTCATTATGATGGTATTTCCACATTGGAAACAGTTTCCTTTAATGCATAAAGACTGGTACAGAAGAATTTGAAGGGGTATTTCATTGTCAATGGATATAATAAATGTTGCTCCAATTACTTAAAACGTGATGGAACACATGTTAATAAAAGAGCATTAGGAATAGACTGATGTAGCAAACCAATACCAATTTGGAGGATGCAGAAAAATTATTATGTGATCCATAATGTTTGATAGATTCAGCATGTTTTAATCATAGCATTAATTGTCTGATGTTTTTCATGGCAGCCTTCTTCTCGGATCAAAATATGATGCCCTTTTAAAAACATTACTTGTTCATTTTTATTATTTGGTTTTTCTATTCCTTCCTCCAAGAAAAGATATACATATATAGATAGTCCTTGATCTTACGACCAAAATTTCTGTTGCTAAGCAAGACAGTTGAGTTTTGCCTCTTTTTATGACCTTGTGTGCCACAGTTGTTAAGTGAATCACTATAGTTGTTAAATTAGTAAAACAGTTGTGAATCTGCTTACCCCATTTTTTTCCTAACAAAAAGTGAATGCATGATCCCCGGACACTGCAGTTGTCATAAATATGAACCAGTTGCCAATCTGTTTAGAAAGTTTTTGTCCAATTGCTGTATTATGGGGGAGGGGGGTTCCAAAGAATTACTAAATGAGGGATTGAATCAGTATTTTATACATGCTGTGGTACCCCATTCCCTCCCTTCTCTGTATAGCAAAATGTGGCAACTTGATTGGAAAGAATATACAGGTTGTCCTTGAGAATAATTGAGCCCAACATTTCTATTGATAAGTAAGACAGTTGTTAAGTGAATTATGCCCCATTTTAGCATGTTTGTGCCATGGTTGTTAAGCGAATCACTAGAGTGAATCATGTGATCGTTAAGAGAGTTTCCCCCATTGACTTTGCTTGTCAGATGCTCCTTAGGGCCCCACGATGCTGCAAATATCATAAATACATGCCGGTTGCCAAGCGCTTGAAGTTTGGTCATGTGACTGGCGATGCTGCCACAGTCATAAGTGGTCATAAGTCACTTTTTTCAATGCCATGTAACTTTGAACAATCATTAAACAAATGATTGTAAGTCAAGGAATACCTGTAGCAGAATATTTTTGACCTTTTGCAGAGAGGAAATCTACATAGTGGAAATGAGCACAGGAAACAAAGACAAGCTCCCGTCCATAATATCCCTAAATCTGAAAAAACAACCCATAGCTCCTTTTTGGTGGGGATTGCTTCAAACTTTGGATGGAGTTAATTAGGTGAAGGGATTAATCAGGTTTGATACGTAGTCTTTGCTCTCACTAACCACACACCCCTGGGATTAATTGAAAAATATCAGTTAAGTGCGGGAATAGGAGGCCATGGCTTCCTGCTCCTATTGCCATCTTAATTTTTAAATTCATGCTCACATACTGCACCACCAAAATGTACTTATTTATAAATCAATTATTTTATGGGTTGTTCAACTCAAAACAATTCACCATGGCACATTAAGATAAATTAAGTAATGAGTTTGGGGATGAGTTTGGGGCTCATCTTTAGGTGCTGATGATCCATGGAATATAGGAGACTGGGCGTTGGTAGAAGTTACCCTGAACGCCCTTTCTATCTATGCTGTGAGAGAGCCCAGGATGGGTTGACTCCTTCCTATGACGTCATTTAGTTGAGTCTGTACTAAGATATAAAAGCCAGACCCCGGAAGTTACCCCAGCTTTGGCGAAGATACTTGACAGACTGAAAGGTGTCTCTGAAAGCACAAATGAATACAGAATTATGACTTACCCTCTCCGGACGAATCAAGGGAGGAGCTGGACTCTCTCGCAGCATAGATAGAAAGGGCGTTCAGGGTAACTTCTACCAACGTCCATTCTCCTCCATGCTGCATCGAGAGCCCAGGATGGGACATACCAAAGCTTGCATGTCCACGGGCGGGTCCTCGCCCGGCTCATCACACCGACTGTTGAACCGCTCGTTGAAGCACCCGTCTGCCGAAGGCTGAAGTTGCCGAGGCAAAGGCATCCAGACGGTAGTATCTGATGAAAGGAGACGGAGATGTCCACGTGGCCATATAACAGATCTCCTCCAAGGGTGCTTGGGTCGCCCAGGCAGCCGAAGTGGCCGCGTTTTTGGTAGAGTGCGCCGTCAGACCTTGAGGAACCGGAAGGGCTGCAGCTTTGTAGGCCTGCTCAATGCAAGATCTGACCCACCTGCTAATAGTAGGAGAAGAGGCCTTGTGCCCCAAGTGAGAAGGGGAAAGGAAACAAACATGGCGTCTGATTTCCTGAAGGAGAAAGTGCACTTAATGTATATTCTAAGAGCCCTACCTACGTCTAGCGTGTGCCACTGCTGCTCTAAGTCATGGTGCGGGAGGGGGCAGAATCCAGGCAACATAATGTCCTGGGACCTGTGGAACAGGTGTTAACCTTTGGAAGAAATGAGGGGTCCAGACTGAGGACAACCCTATCGTGAAAGGAACAAAGGTCCTGTCTGATGGAAAGAGCAGCAAGTTCGGATACCCGCCTGGCTGAAGTGATGGAAATGGGGAACACTACCTCAGAGTCAGGAAACGGAGAGACAATGTTCTAAGGCGTTCAAAGGGGGCTTCGTAAGGGCATTAAGGACCTCATGAAGATCCCAGGAGGGATACCTGTGAACCACCAGGGGTGCAGGTTGGAAGTCCCCTTTCAAAAAAACTTCCTGACTGAAGGGTGATGGGATAAGGAAGGAAGCGAACCCCATGAAAGAACCGAGGAGAGGGCCTCAACCTGCCTGCGTAAGGAGTTGGGGGCCAAACCTTTCTACAGATCATGCTGAAGGAATCTAAGAACCTCTGCCAACTGGGCTGAAGCAGGAGAGAGACCCTCCCTAAGGAACTCTCGGGAAGGGCCTTCCAGGTGGCATCATAGAAGCGCCTTGTAGAAGGTTTGCGAGATGCCAGGATGATGACCCTTTCCGGAAGATCAGCCACCCCTAGCTGCTGCCGCCCAAGTGCCACATGGTCAGCTTGAGCCACAGGGGCTCCGGGTGGAGCAGAA